AAAAAACCCCTGAATATTCCTTCATTGTGGGGAATAAGTCACATTAACAACTTCTATAACTAAAACGCACTTTGGTATTAATTATCCTTCATTACTTACGTTTTTCATATAAGAAAAAAATTATATAATTATCAAAATCTCTCCAAAGATTTATAATCTCAAGCCAACCAACCCATTTACCCACTCGTGTGCACGATCATATGGCGCACACATTTCAGTAGTAAGGAGGTCATTTATCTCTTCACAAAAGTGGATTAACCGAAAGGATATCCCCTTAAGGGAGATAAAAATATATTATATAGTTTTTGCAAAGCTCTTTCCACCAGTGTGGTATTTTGAGACTTCACTTATAGATTTCAAAACTATTCTTTATATATATATATATATATAAGGGTGATATATGTTTAGTTTTTTGCAATTGAGTGCTACTTAACACTCTGTTTGACAACAAGGGGGGTGCAAATTGCTGGGGGTGCAAGTTGAGGGGTAAATTGATGGGGGTGCAAATTGCTGGGGGGTGTAAGTGGAGGGGTAAATTGTGGTTTGGATGAAAAAGTAGGGGGTTTAAAATGATGTAAAAAGAGTTTTAGATTATTATATAAATAGTAAATGTAATAATAGAATGTTATATTCTACTTGTGATATCGTACTAATGGTAAAAATAATACGTATGTTATGAATACCAATCTGTTATGAATAATTATAATAATAGTTATATTAAAAAAATTGATAATTATGTCAGGGGTGGAGCTAGGATTCGACGTTCAGGGGGCCGGATGTTTCGAAAAAATAAAATTAAAATAGAAACATCATATGCTGGGTCTTGATCCAGCCACCTCTAATGAAGAAGAATCATATTCCTAACCGTTGTGCTAGCCAACTTTCTTTTCCCATGTTTGCACACTAACTATTTATATTCATTTGCTTACGTTTATGCGAAATTTTCAAAAACCAATATATTTATACGTAATTTCCAAATTCTCTGGACCCCGGGTCCATGTGTAGCTCCGCCCCTGAATTATGTGACTTCTTACATAATATAAGCATCCTATATAAAGATAAAGCCACTTTACAACCCACTGCATCATAATATAAAGATCAAATCCATTTACACCATATAAGTATCTTATATAAAGTTCACAATTTTTACATATAGGACATCCATAAAAGCCACAGCTTGCGTTCTAATAGTAAACAATGACCATTTGATATGTATATAGGTCATGGCTCATGGTTCATCAGCAAGACCATGACATTCAAAATTACAAGCATAATAACAACGGGCTTTTAGACATATAACAAAAAAATAACTAACAAACATTCTAGTCATCATTCATCCAGAAAGATGGTTTGTTAGACAAGTTCATCACAAACCGCAAGCGTGACCCTTCTGGCAAACTAAACATCATGCTTGTCTGCTATCGATTACCCACAAAGAACTTAAAAGCTTGATCGAGCAAGGTTTCGGGCAAGTCCAACTTCTCCAATTCTGCATAAATTTCATTTGCATGATAAATACGTTCTCGTTGATGTTCTTGAATTGAATTACCTCTCTCGATTGCACCAATCAACTCCTTAGAGGATCTTTCAGTAATCTTGTTACCTGCATCCAACATCTCGACCATGCTCTTAATAGAAGAACTCACATCTTCAAATTGATGACTAGCTAAGGTGGTCATCGGAGTCTTCCTTTTAAGCCCGCGTGAGGAAGAAGTTCCATGTGAGTTGATGGAAGGAGACGGCTCACGAGTGAAAGCATTCAAACCTTCACCACTATAGGCACTACCTTGACGCCGTGGGAAAGTAGGAGTATCATCACCATCAGTTGCATCATTCAAATCAATATCAAATTGTGGAGATGCATTCCACATTTGAACCCTTTCGAAAGCACTAGTAGCCCCATCACCTCTTGCTCTCTGCTCACTATACAACTCAACAAGCTTGTCAATGTTGTTCACAAGCAAGCGGCGGTATTTGCTTGCACTAGGTTTCTCCTGCATACAAGGTAAAATGTGGCAGCTTAACAAATCTATAGTGATTGAGATTCAATAAGATTATAAAGGGCAAGTTCTTACTAATCATATTTGCCCACATGAAATATGCCTATTTTGTTCATGCTCTTCATAGTTCATATACATTAAATAAAAATCATCAAAAATCCAGTTATTAACATGGCGCAAATGTTCCCATACTTCAGGCTCGGCCTCAAACATTTTGGTGATTGGGTTCCAACCAAAGCCACTCATATTGTCGAAGATTTCTTTCGCATCCGCCATGTGTTTTTTCAGGGTTCGCTGCCTACTTCTCACATTTGTCTTATCTATGGGAAGACCAAAATTTCCTCTTAAAACTTCAACTACATTGTTCAAAGCATGGGGTAGTAAACTGACCATCCTGTCTATTCCCTTTACGTTCCTCAGAAAGTGGGAGATCCAAGAGCTCAACATCCATCTCATTTGACCCAACAATACTCCCTTTTCCTTCCCCCCCCCCCCCCCCCCCCCGAGATGCATATCCCGCGATCTTTTCCTTCCCTCTCATTTTGGTACCTACAAAATGTATAATCAGGTTAGTGAATGACATACAAGGGGAAAAAAACATAAGACCAAGTAAATATACTTGTTTTGCTATCACCTTTGAAAATTCATCCTAACCGAACACTATAACCTTACACAAAGCATTTATGGCACACTTTCACAAAATAACAAAGCTCACAGAAAATGACAAGTGCAAATATAACATTTATAGTACATAGTTGAAAAAGAAAACACTAGAATACAAATGAATAATACAACAGTTCATCTCAAATTATTATTATAATCATTCCACATTTGCTTGGCAATACTATCTCGTAATAATGCTCCCGCTTAAGGATCCTCATCAGATCGTTCGTAATTTTCTGTGTTTTGTTCTTGTAACTCTCCGTCGACTTATGCAAGTAGTTCATCGTCCGGATCCACTCCTCTCAAAAAATTGTGTAAAATGCAACATGCTAAGATGATATTCGTAGTTGTCTGAAATGAAAACTGCGGTTCAGCATCACTCTTTATGATCGGAAACCTTTTCTTCAGAACTCCAAATGCTCGTTCTATTTCATTCCTTAGAGATGTATGACGATGATTGAATAACTCTTTAGCAATCGGTCCATTTCGAGAATACTCCTTTAGGTGGTAACGAACACGCCTATATGGAGTCAATAATGAGCTCTTCAACATAAAACCACCATCACCCAAATAATATTTTCCTAAGCACATAGAACAATCACAAAATCAGATTTATTGAGAAACAATTTTCCAATAAAATTACCCAATACGCTAGAACTGCAATGATCACTCACCTTCTGGGATGACAAGTCTGTCAGGCCGAACAAATGCATTTTTTATGATTCTTGAATCAGATGTAGTTCCCTCCCAACCCGCTAACACATAGGTAAATTTCAAGTCAAAGTCACAACAAGCTATTACATTTTGTGTAGGCCATTCTTTCCGACCAAGAAATCTTGGTTGGTCATCACGTGGAACCTTAACACGAAAATGGGATCCATCAGCAACACAAAGGCAATCCTGTATGATTATAATACAATTATAATATTTTCTATAGTTATGAAATTGATGTATATAATGAATTGGTATGTATGATATTTACATGAAAATAAAGATAAAACCGAGGATTTCATGAATTTTAGATCCCACAGGAGTGGTGGCTGTAGGTTGTTGTAAGAGTTGAGAGGCTAGGCTCAAGACTGCTCGCAAGACATTGTGAAAATGACGATGAATTGTTTCATTACTCCAATAGTAATGAAGACACATGGTAGTGTAGTTGCCACCAGTGTGTCCTAGAATTTGCAAAAACTTTGCTACTTGCTCCTCTACAGTGCTCCGTTTGTAGATGACGAACAACCCAGTATTCCTCAACATCTCACATAATGCAGCAAATGCATGTGATCCCATTCTCAAGGTCGAACGACAGAATGTATCTTGGAGGGTTAGACGATCCATAAACTCTCGACGTGTCCTTGCTCGGTAACTTTCATGCTGACCTAGTGGTCCATCAATAGCAGGTTGAAGACAATTTAACAAACATGGTGCATGAACAATGTAACAGACTAGTGTAATCTCACAAGTCTTTCTTTGTCGTTGCCAATTATCCATGATAGTTTGCTAAGTTTGAAGTATTAGTATTCTATTCAAAGATATTGGATCTTCAGTGTCATCAATGTTAACCTCATTGTCAAAAACAGGGACATCATCTCCATTCAAGCTATGCGTTTCATTATCCATCTAAGCATGACACCAAAATTTGTTCCCCGTTAAAAATAAACCTCACGAATGAGAAGAACACACCGAAATTTGTTCCCTGTTCAAAACAACCCACAAATGAACACACCAAAATAATGACAACCCATGAATGAAAGGAACCCACCAAAATAATGACAACTCATCTCCTATTATCCTAATGCAATGGATACATTTTAAAAATGAAAGGCAAGTTAATAATATATAATATCACATCTACTAATAAAACTAGCAACCATATAATACAAAATGAAGCATTCATCGGCCAAAATGAATGAAAGGCAAGTATAATAAATCCCATCTAAGAAACGAATCATTTATACCGCATAACAAATGAAAAAAAGGCAAGTATAATAATATCCCATCTACAAATATATGGAACACAATTAAATCCAATATTAGAAGCAATTAAAAGAGGGATCTAAAGCATTCATCGGCCAAACACAATATGGAAGGAATTAGAGATTCTGGGTAAGTGAAAATCATGGAACGATTTAGCGTGGTTACTCAAATTTTGAGTAATCACGGTGGCTACCAACATCTGCACCCTTGATTATTAATATTTTAGTCTATTTTTAAATGTATGGTAAAGATTAGATTAGGGGTAATTATGTAAACAAAAAAGATATACACCTAATTACAATCTCCTAAAATATAAATTATATATATTATAGTAAAACCCTACTACCTCCTCTCTCTCCGGCACGGCGGCCTCCATCGTTCCCCAGCGGTCCCTATTCCCTCCCCTCTCGTCGTCTCTCCTGCCGCCGCCACCACAATCCCGTCCATTTCCCTTCTCTCTCTCTCTCTCCACCTCCCTCCTCACCGCATTCGTCGCAACCTGCCCCTCTTTCCAACCTCCTCCACAAGACCACAACCACCACCGCCCGCAACGTCAAATCCATATCCGACTACATCCCTCCTGCCGGCCACCCATACTTCCCAGCTCCCTTCGGTGGGATCCTCCTCCCTTTCCCTCACGCGCTCGGATGGTCACTTTGAAGGCCTCCCCCCTCCCCCAATATATTTTCATCGTATACTTCCCGCCGAGCATTGAGATGGTTGCTTTGAAGGTTTCACTCACTCCCCTCGTAATCTCTCTCTCACACAAGCAGCTGGAAAGGTGGATGAATAAAAATCCAAGATCTGATTTTTTTGCATTGGTAGTGATTTTTTTCGTAGCGGTAATGTTTTTTCGCATTGGTATTGTTTTTGTCGCATTGGTATTGATTATCATGTAATGATATTAATTTTGCATGTATTGGTATTGATTAAATCTGCAGTGGTGTTGATTTTTTGTGAAATGGTATAGATTTATATTGGTAGATTGTTTATATTGGTAGTTTTTGTGTAATGGTATAGATTTATTTATGCAATGGTATTGATATTTTTCAAAGTGGTAGTGATTGTCTAATGGATTGGTAGTGATTTCGTGTTTTTTTTCTTTTGCGGAAAGATTGAGAAAAATAAGGATAGGGGATCTGGTTGGAGATTATGGAAGTGAGAGAAAGAGAGAGAATTTTAATTAACAAATTCTTGTAACTACCTAAAATGTAATTTTATTAAAAAATTAATTAATATAATTTATTTTTTCATACCCAATTTACCCTTAGTAACCACGTTGATTACTACTTTTGTAGTAATCACCATAACCTGTCCCTGAAAATCATGGATGAAGTTAGGGGTTTTATCATATTCACCTTCAATAAGAGCAGCGTCAAGTCGAGCAGTAAGAATGAAGGTGGAGATTCGGGCAAGCAAGCGATTTGGATGGCAGAGCACCTCAGCAAAAACTAGGGGTGTTCAAATGGTTACCATGGTTATTACCAAACCAAATAAGGCTAAATTTCATTAACCATGGAATGCAATATCATAACCAAACCGTCCAAACTAATACAACAACCAAATTAACCAAACTAAAGTTTATTCGGTTTGGTTAATTGGTTAACCAGATTAACCAATATAAAATCATATTATCATCAAGTGAGAAAATTTTCAGTTAATTTATCAATTCGCAATTTATATAATGAATAAAACATAACAATCAACACATAGTTATAGTTGACCCTTAGCATAAATACATGCAACTAAGACAATTATCTTACGGTTAGTATAGAAGTATTCACCTAACAAAAATTTATCACAATGGTATGGAAATGGGACCATGGAAATTGGCTTCAATTACCACATTCATGGTAATTGAGAATACTACACCTCCCCCTAGTAATTTGACATTACCACGTTTTCTTACTTCTTTTTCCAAATTCCACACCATCAATTCCCACAAAACTAAACCCTATCCAAACGTGAATTGTTTTTCAATTTCCACAAGTCAATTCCTTGGTTTTGTAAAACATGGAAATTTAGACAAATTTCAACGTTTTAAAATTGGGTGAATTGCAAGTTTGGTCACCCATATTACACTTTTGTAACACGTTAGCCACCCGAATCCATTTCGCTTCAATTCAGCCACTGATAATACCCCTTTATGTCATCATTGGTCACTCGCCGTTACACACCGTCAATGCCGTTATACTTTTGCTGACGTGGCAAACGGGGTGCCAAGCTGGAACACGAAAAGTTGTTTTTTAGTCCAACTAATCGCTGACATGGCTTGGGCGGGAAAAAAAAGTGGGTTTCCCTCCCATTCTTCCATCTATATTAGGGTTAATTTCCCCAATCAAAGCCCCCTTCGACAGAACCTTCTTCTTCGAGCTTGAGAAATGGCCGGTCCCTGCTGTCATTGTGGAGATCCAGCCGATCTGAGAACGAGTTGGACAGATGCAAATCCGGGCAGGAGGTTTTACGGGTGCGCAAAGTTTGGAGTAAGACCAACTCCCCGTCTTCTTCCTCTCTTCTTCTTCTTCTTCTTCCTGTGCTTTTCTTTCTTCTGCTGCTCTGTTCAACCGCTGCTGCTCTATTCAATCGCTGGGTTCTCAAATTTCTTTTTCCTTGTTTTGCGTTTGTACAGAGAACGGGAGCTTGCAACTACTTTAGATGGCATGACCCGGCTCTTGATGAGAACGTGAAGTATTTGGTTCTCCACCTCCATCGTCGGCTGCGCGAGCTGGAGAATAGGCAGCAAGGGAGGGTGTCGACTTTTAGTAGCAAAGAAGTGCTACTCTTCCTTTTCTCTGCAGCTCTGTTCTTTTGTCTTTGGAAAGGGATATAAGAATGGGTGAGTCTGATGGGGGAATGCAATCTGTAGTCAAATTTGATAGGGAATTAAGAATGGGTGGGTGGGTCTGATGGGGAATGATGCAATGTGTATTCCCAGCTGCTGTAGTCGGATTTTAAATGTCGATTGTGGTTGTTATTAATCGTAATCAAAATGTTAATTGTGTTTGTGTTTAACTTGCAAGGTGTAATGAGTGTTGTGTGTGTTGTGTCATGTACTTTGAAGTTGAGTATCTGGTGATGGAAGCTGAATGTCATGAAAGAAAAGAACATTATCATTGTTAATAAACCTGCTTGGCAATCAAAAGAACATTATCATTGTTAATAAACCTGCTTGTTAATCACAAAATGAGCAAGTCATCATCATCATCCGATTTACAAGATCAATCAAAGACTGCATCAGTTCACCAAATAGGCAACTGATTACCAAAATGAGACTAATATAACTACAACTACTTGTTCACCAAAAGGGATGATTACCAAAATGAGGCTAATATAACTACAACTACTTGTTCACCAAAAGGGTACATCGTCGTACAATTTAACCAAACTACCTAAACAACCACTCCTACATTAACTGCTACCAAGCTTCAAGGATTCCTCAGCTGAGTCAATTGGCTTGCTATCTGCGAGCCTTGAGTGCCTTGAGTGCCTTGAGTGCCTCGACTTCCTTGTTGGGATGCCTCACCTAATGGCCTCCTGGTAGTTCCCTGCAAAATGAGTGAGATTAGGACGTTTGTCTATATTAATGAACTTCAAAAAGAACAAATCAAAGACATACATCAGGCATCACTTGGACAGTACAAGGCTGACTTGGTGCTTGTCTCATTTCCAGCTTCCTCTTCTTTTGCTCCAGCTTCTGTAGGGCAGCAAGTCGATTACGTTCAGATCTTTCTTGTTGCTTCCTCCTTTGTTCTTCCTCCCTCTCCTTCCTTTTTCTTTCTTTCTCCATTACATCTTCTGTCCTCTTTGCAGCACGAGCTTGTTCCTTTCCAGCTTGATCGACATGAAAAGACTTGGCAGTACACCTGTATGGTCTCCTAGGTTGTTTCGACACTTCCATTCCATCCTTCTTTTGTTTCTTACCTTTGGCAGCCTCCTCCCTCTCCTTCCTTCTTGCTTTTTTTGGCCTTCCTCTCTTCTCTCCCTCTATAGGAGCAGGCACTCCAACCTCACCTAATTCAGAAAGACCCCAATGTTCCTTGCCAGCAGTAGGTGAAATAGAGAATTGGTAAATTTTGGCTGCTGTTTCCTTCAAGTAACATGCTGCCACATAGTCGTGGAGTTTCTTATTTGCCTTCCTAATTGCTTGCATAGCATGTTCACAAGGAATGCCAGTTAGCTCCCACTTTCTGCAGGTGCAAGTCTTTTCTTTTAAGTTCACCACAAGCTGCTTGTTGTGCCACCTAACCTCAAACTCTCCATTGCCATTTGATACTGCAACCCACTTGAGAGCCTCTTTCTTCAATTGTTTAATTTTCAGCTCAATATTGGGACACAAAGGACCACTCCATTTTTTCACAAAGCGTCGTCTCTTAGCATACATCAACATTAACTTTCTTCTAATACCCTCCCACATGCTAATAGGAGCCATATCCCTCTCATCCATTATGGTATCATTCCAACTTTCAACCATGTTGCTAGTAAGCACATCAGAAGAAACAAGAGTGAGAAAGTGAGACCTTGTCCAATGGAAGAATGGCTTGTTAAGAAGCCATTCGTAGGCGTCCTTGTTGTAGTTTGATATTTCTTGCATAGCAGTGTGAAATTCAGGCACGGTTGTAGCTCTAGCAGCTGTCCAGAACAGATCCTTCATCATTTGGGAGGCTCCACATGCACCTTGTAGGTTTGTGTACAAGTGACGACCACAATGCCTCTTCTCACAGTTAGGGAAGGTGTCATCTAGTGCTGGAATAAGACCCTGTGTATGAAAAATAAACACCCTATTAGTTTGCCATCATGATACAAAATAAAACATACAAAATAAAACGTGAGTAAATCTTACCTTCTGTTTGTCTGACATGAACGTCCAGCCGGGATTATCCACTATGTCAAGATCGAACCTCAGTAGTTCAAGGAACCAAGTCCAGTTCTCCTTATTCTCCACTTCAACGTGAGCAAAGGCAACCGGAAAGTATTGCTCATTTGCATCGATGCCCACCGCAGAAAGAAGTTGACCACCATATTCGTGCTTCAACCAACACCCATCGATGCACAAAATCTGTCTACAGCCTGCCCGGAACCCTTTCTTCGATGCTTCAAAGAAAACATACATACGGTGAAAAGTCTGGTATCTCTGCTCAACAACAACAGTTGAGTTGGGGTTGCTCCTTTGTAGCTCTTTTGCATAATGATAGAGGCTTCGAAATTGTTCTTTGTACGTCCCACGCACCAAATCAGTTGCTGTCTTCTTGATCCTATATGCCTTCATATCTCCAACCTCTTCCTTGTAGTCTTCTTTCATTATTTGTTTCAACAAGTTTTTGCTCATTTTCTGATCGGCTGCCATCTTTGTTGACAGCTTGTTTCCCAAGAACTTGGCGGTTGCAAACTTGTTGTTGAAAGTCAGACTACAATCTCTTGAATGCTCCAATTTGCACCTTGTGATTTGTACAAAATCTGCATGCTCTTTCTTGGATGCCCAAATGTACCACTCACAAGGTGCCTGACACACTGCTTGTAGCCTCTTTCGATCATTCTTCTTGAAAGAGATTGGTCGATGCTCAATAAAAGAGTGTGTCTTTATCGCCTCAACCAACAAATTCTTGCTACTGAATTTTTGATCAAGTGAGAACTTTGGGTTCTCCATGTCTCGATCCACACGAAACTCAGACACATGTGCATCATCGGAGTCATCCTCTGAACTGTGAACAGTTCTACGATCATCAGAGTCGACAAAATCCGACTCTTCTTCTACGTCATCTTCCATCTCATTTTCTCCGTCTCGACCAATAATTCTGCCCAAGTCAGCTTCTACATCCATATTGCAATTC